GTGTGTGTGTGTGTGTGTGTGTGTGTTTTTACCAGTGACACACATGTGCGACAGTTTATGTTGGTTCCTCTGTGCAATGTGTTGACTGATTTGGAAATTCAAGTGCACTGTCGATTAATTTGCCTACGGGTGGCCTTTGAGATCCGTTACGATCGACGGCTTTTGTCAATACCAAATTGCGGAAATGTGGAGGTGCAGCATTGGAAGACAACTGTCGGCTCCCACATTTGCAATCATTTACGAAGGTGGAATTTGCGTAATGGAAAACAGTGTGCACATGCTTGTGTACAGTGCAGTCGAGTTTTCTCTCTTTCTACCGCCACTACAAACACTAGTCGATTTATCACCTTGGTCCAATTTTAGGTACTTTTGTAGGTAGGTTCAGGAGGTAGGTAGCTAAAGATCTGTTGTTGTTTTTTTGGTGCAAATGTCAGTGCAAACGAGGGGGGCCGATTAGCATGCTCTAGCAGGCACCTGCATTTTTGGTGCAAGTGGGCGCCGGCCAGACCCGTAAACACTGTCAACACAGTTACCCACCTAACCGTCGGGTGACCATTAATAAAATCGGTGCTGGAAGTAAACCCCGTGCAGCTTTCTGTTGTTGTTGTTTTTGTTTTTGCGCTCAAATTAACTTTATTAGTTATTTTTGTTTTTGAACAATCCTACATTCTCTGATCTTGATGGAACACGGCATGTTTGCTCAGAAGTTTGTGTTTCGGTTGTATGTTGCGATGTTTATTGCTTCAGTTTTAATTATTTCTGCCGTTCACTTGTCAATATTTCTACTGGTTTTATTTTTAGTTTTTCAACTCAGCTGACGCCATCCGACTCAGCTGCACCTGCTCCAGTTTGTCGTTCAGGTCAGAGGGCAGGTTTTTAATGCTCTCAACTTGGAAAAGCACTTTTTGGCCCGAGATGAAATCCTTCTTGTAGTAGAGCACAGCCGATTGCTTTTCTCGCTCCCTAAAAGAATGAATTAAATGTTGTTGATTTACTTTGGATAGTATTTTTTTTTGTCAAATGTCCTGTTTGTGCCATTGACCGATTATCGACCACTAGTGATTGGCCACTCTAGGCAAACAAAACAACACTGTCAACTGACCAGACTGTCTTGTGACTGTTGCCCTCTTTCTGATCACACTCGAAGTGGAAGTACTCATGTTATCAGGCTAATGACTGACAAAGCTAGCTTTCTTCTTACATTTCCTGACACTGACCTTCACTGTTGATTTATTGGACTGTCTCTTCCTGATGACACTCACTGTCAAGATCATTTTGACATATTTGGCTCTCTTTTCATTACTCCCTATGCCTTATCGTGTCAGTGGGTGCCCAAACTTACTTTGAATTAATGTGGCTGAGAAAATTGAAGGTAATCGACTTGAGGGATATTTTGGCGCCCTCTTCTCCGTCTATCCAGTTGACAATCGCTTGACGCACCTGGCCCAGATCTTTAGGCACCTTCATCAGGTAGCTGTACTTGGTGTTGGCTTTAATCTTGCCGAGCTCATTCCTGTCGGTGATCAAAATCTTTGGGCCGTTTCGGAAACGACCAAAAGGAGTGATCTCCAGTGAACCGTTTACCGGAACGGCAATGTTGCCCGTTTCAACCTAGGCAAAAAGCTGTTTAAAACATAATTTTTTTTAAAACTTGAGTTCTTACTATGACTTGGATGGCAAACATAGTCCACGGAATCGTTGAAGTGGTGTCCAGGTAGTATTTGACCGGTTTGGTCCAGGTGGACGGCGGCTCCTGTTCCTGCCACCAGCCGAACCAGTTGCTGAATGGCTTGCACTGCTCCGCATCGGAACAGGTGCCACAGTTTCCGGCGGCGTACTCCTCGTAGCTGGCGCAGGCAAAGGCCACCGCCTGAGCGTACGTCAGGTGACTTTCATTGAAGGCCACCAGTCGGGTGGCTCGTCGGTGGCTGCAGGCCATCGTGTCAGTCAGTCCGCCGACGACGCCATTCAGGAGGATGTTTGCCACTGCCTTGGTCTTCTCGCAGCCCGTCTGCTGGTGGCCGCCATTCGGGTAGAAGGAGTAGTGGCCAAGGGGCGTCAGCAAGCCAAAGTTGTCGCCCATCTCCTGACCGCCGTTAGTGTGAATGGTCAGCACCAGCTTGGCGTCATTTGGGTTCAGGCGGTGGGTGTCGTTGATGTCGCTGAATGAGGGACCAGCCGGATCGAGACCTGGAATGATGGAAGTATCACCGATTAGTCAAAGTATTTTTTTTCTGACTATCAGCACTTACCAATGATGTTGCGCAGCTTTCCACCCTCGCCTTGAAAGTGCTTTCCAACAAAGCCACTCGTTTGAGCGCCCAGACTGTGTCCCACCACGGTGAAGTCATTTGGCGTGAGATTATCATAAACCCTAATCAGCTGTCGAATGTGGCCGGCGACGACCGCGCCCACCATCTGCGTGTTGGCCACCGCCTTCGGGTACAGCGTCACCTGTGAGCCGTTGTGCCAGTCAACGGCAATGACATTGTGTCCACAGTTGGGCCCCTTCTCGTCACGCTGGTCGTCGAGGATAAAGTCCTTTAGGTCCTGTTGTTTACGTCGGCAAAACAAATGTAGTGGTTAGAGAAGAAAAGATCGCAGTGTACGTGATGATGCAGCTGATGACGCAATTGCCATTTAGTTTATTGTGCTTTATTTTATTTTTATTTTCTATTTTTCAGCTCATTTTACAACTGCACCCCAGATGGGAAAACTAATTAGCTTGAAAAACAAGCTTATGGTTCGCTGATGATATGCCGGTTCAGCCGATTAGTCCTCTGGGTTCATCCTTTGTGCCCTATGCTCACCAATACCAACAACTCTTTTTTGGTTTGACTTCTCAAAAAGTGAATGAACTTTGACAGTACAATGTTCTCTATTTGCTCCATTTTGTGCTGTGTACTGAAGTTGTAAGGAAACGTCTGCACTTTGCTGTCTGGCTGACTGATTCTATCTCTGCTACTTCTTCCTGACTGCCTGTACTACAAAGACTACTATTTGGTTGCATTTTAAAAGCTAATCTGATTACTCTTTCTTTTCCACGTTTCACTTACCCCCATCCAGTTCATTTCTTCATACAGATCCAAGTAACCGTGAATTATGAAGACAGTTCGTTTCTCCTTGATGAAGGGTGATTTTTTTACGTACTCATCATCAGCGTCCCACTTGATCTCATAAGGCCGATACTTATTCTTACAAGTGTACATAAAAAACTTGATGTTGATTTCCGATGGGTTCATGGGGTAAAAGCCACCGATGGACGCTGGAAGCTGGAAAGCCGCCGAAAGGGGGAATCGCGAAAAGTTGCCATAAATGCCGTATGATCGAGGAGCTGACCAGGAAAAGTTCAAAAAATATTTTAAGCAAAAAGGTAAATATCAAATCACCAAATGTCTAAAGTAGATCACACAGTTTGTTTGATCAACTATTTTCACACACCTCTGTCAATCATCAGACTAATCAGGCGTACAAGGTCGCACACCGATGGTACAAAACGACTTACCAGTTAAAAAGTTGCTTTTTCCCCAGCCAAAGACGTTAAATGAAGAGAGTGACGGCCAGCCGAATCCATTTGCTGGCTGGTGGCTCAACTGAAGAACGAAGAAGAGCAGGAGGTAGGAAAAAGTGGAGCGGCACGTGGTGGTTGCCTTCATTGCGAACACTGCTCAAAAAAGTCTCTGTGTTTTGTTTCAGTCGTCGATGTCAGGTGACGATTACAATGAAAGAGACAGCAAAAAAAGGAAGGAGATAGAAGAAAGAGTCCAGTTGGCAGCACAGATAAATCGACGAGCGATCCAAACCACAGCGAAGATGATGAGTTACTCGGCTCACTGCCAATGTTGGCATTGAATTGAAATGAACATCGACGACAGGCCAATATAAACTAAGGCATCGGCAATTTGTGGCCAGACCTTTAACGACACTGCAGGTAAGGGCTCGGTGCTCATCAATTAGATGCGCCCAATTGGCACTTGGCACTGGTACCACTCTTTTTTTCTCTCTCTTACTTTTTCTAACTTTGACTCCACTCGAGGCTGCTGCGTAATTTTTGCGGTGCTAATGAAATGTGATTAAAATATTCATAGCTGACTGCAATCAGACGGTGGGTAAAATGTGTAACTGAAAGGGGGGGGCGAGGGTGTAATGGCAGTGAATATAAAAGTCTGATGACGATTGATGACTGAGTTGATGAAAGGTGTCGCACTTTGACAATTAGAGCCAGTGTACCAGTTGTCCACTGTTGTGCGTCTGCTGTACACTGGTACTTGCTAGTGATTCCCTTTCTTTTCCCCTTTGATTTTGTGCTATTGTGCCTGTGCTTTCAATTGGCCCATTTAGGTCAAGTAGATGTGCACATCTGTGCTAGCTGAAGTTTAAAATAAGTGCTTTGTTGTTCTCCCGTCTCTTTTAGATTTTTTTCTGAAATTTGTAATCGCCTATCGGCTGATGCTGTGTCTACTGCTGCGGTTGGACGCGTTCTTTCTATGTCACAACAACTGGTTTTAAAGGACTAATTGCTAACCAAAAATATATTCATTTGTGACGTAAGAATTTTAATTTTTAATATCACTCCTAGTACCAAGCAGTGCAAACGCTTTGCCAGAAGTATAAATGTCATTATTATTAGCAAAGACTGAAAATTAAGCGGATTTAAGCAGGCAAGTGTTTAGAAATTTTTTTCTTTTGTTTTTCTTTGCCCTGATCATACCCTTTTAAGTTGGAAAAGAAAGCACTTGCATGGCAGCGCACTACAGTGCACTTGTAAAATCAAAAAAATCGGACGTGNGTGTTTAGAATTTTTTTTTTGCCCTGATCATACCATTTTAAGTTGGAAAAGAAAGCACTTGGCATGGCAGCGCACTACAGTGCACTTGTAAAATCAAAAAAATCGGACGTGATTGGACGGAAGTTTAGCAATTTAGCAGGAATCGACCGGAGAGTCTGCAGAATCTGTGTTCGTGCGCCCCCGTCTGAATCGTTATTCTCTTTTCAGTATTTTGTTAAGAACAGCATTTTTTTGCTGTTGCTTTTGTGTGTGTGCCTTTAAAACAATCCTTTTACCGCTAACACCATCATTGAAAATTAAACGAGACAAAGTTTTGCTTGCAAAGAGTGCTCTGTTGCTGCCCCCGCACCAGCATGCGGTGCTGATGTGCCTCAATGATGCACTGGCGCAATGTTGATGAGCTTTGAATCAGAACACACTCATATAATATCATGTTGAACTGCATGCTTCTCACGCAGTTGAAATGTCAACTACTTTGAAATAACTGAAAAAAACTTTTGTGAAATAACTGGCAAATGACTGCCTGCTAGGCAACAACACTGCCTCGATGTCTGGGTGCCTTTTTATTCTTTTCCCTGTCACAGCAGTTTGGACGGACTAGCAGTCAATCTAGCAGGCCAACACACCTACACACACAGAAAAACATCGTCACTAAATCGACTCTAGACTCGGTAGACTAGATTCGATTTGCCGGTGAATTATTCCCAATGCAAATGAGTTTCTAGAACGTTGGGTAGCTTATGGTTGGTGCAGTTTTTTCTAGTGTTTTTGCCCAAACATTAAAAGTATTTAAATAAGTGTTTTTATTTTTTAGTGCAAAAGTTAGCAGTTTTTTAGTTTGATTTTGCTCTCCAAATTGGATTGCTATTTTACGTATGTCAATTCATTTCTGTCCGTTTGTTGATCGACAAATTAGTGTGAAATGGCTGCTTGCAGAAGCAAACGGTGAAAGTTTGGTTTTTGTGTTTCTATGGTATTTGTTTGTTTGCCTTGTTAGTTCACCGTAGTGGTAATTATGCAAGTGGGCTAGAAATGAGAAACGAAAATTGCCAATTGTTTCCAATTATCTAAAAGATGGTATTCTGCCTGCTTTTTTTAAGTCCAAGTTCATGACAACTTTGGTACATTCTTGTCTGCTCTGATCTAATTAATCGATTTCATTTTCCTTTGTTTTTTATTTCACTTTCTAATGAGCGTATATTTAGATGCGCACTCTGACTAATTCAATTGCCCGGTGATGCGACTATTGCGAATCTCTAACTTAGCCACCACAATCTGAGGCTTTCTGCTGAGACGATTGCAACAAAAAAATCCTTGTTTGTTAACCAAAAAAGAAGTTGTTATTTCTAGTAGTTGAACAGTATTTTATTTTTTAATATTTCTATAAATGTCACACTTTAACGACTGCAACACTTTGATTTAAAAAAAATCTTCAACTAAAGTTTACTGGTTGAAAAAATGTAAAGTGGTCTAGTTAAACTTTTGTTCAATTCTNTAATATTTCTATAAATGTCACACTTTTTAACGACTGCAACACTTTGATTTAAAAAAAATCTTCAATTAAAGTTTACTGGTTGAAAAAATGTAAAGTGGTCTAGTTAAACTTTTGTTCAATTCTATTAGTGCTGATGTTGCTCAATGGGTAAGTTGTTTATCTATATTTTCTATCTATTGATTTGTGTGAAGTAAAACGTTAAAGCAACATAAAGTTCAATGACTGCTCAAAAAATAAAATATTTATTTTTAAATTCAGAGGCACTTTCTACAGATTAGGCTGCAAAGCACACATTTTGCAGTGCACATGCTTTTTCTTGCTTTTTCTATCAACAAATGCAAAAAAGTGTGTAGGCGGAAAGTTGTCTGAAAATGCACTTTAAATGCAGCCGTTCTAGATTCAATATGGTCAGGGGCATCATTTTTGAGCGTTTTCACTTTCCGGTTAACTGCTGCTCTTCTGGTGCACTGCTTTATCTAGAGCCCACGCACGTCGTCAGACGTTTTTTGGTGGTTGTTATCTTGTTTTGATGGTAATTTATTAATTAGGAAAAATAATGTAACATTATATGCTCTTTTTAAGCAAAAACATAATTCTCTTGAGAGATTAGGATTTTCAGGGTCAACATCTGACTTTCGAAGATTCTGTTGCTGGAATTTTGCTTGACTGAGCAGTTTGTTTTTGATTAGTCATAGTGTTTTAAAAGTTTTTTAGTTTTTAATCAAATACAATTGTTTTAATTTTTTGAAAGTAGCAACTTTAACAATCATATTCACTGACAATTAGTTAGTTTTCACAACTCAGAATGAAAACTTTGCATCGTTGTAACTGAACTGCAGTTTGACTTGAACTTTCTAGTCAGAGTTTCATGTAGTTGGGAATTTAGTACAATTGTGCAAGGTCGAAATCATATCACGCATATTTTAGCTGCAGCAAGTTTGCAGTCATTCGTGCCACTGACCAACAGCGATTAGCTCAAATCAAGCTGCAGTTTCTCAGTGCACTGCAATTAGTTTTGAGACATAACCCTCGTACATGCTCTACAGCTAGGGCATTGTGCGACTGCTAAGCTGCAGCCTTCTATTCTACTACTTTGGTTGTGACACAGCAATCACTAGCAAGCTGCTTCATTTAGAAGAATTATCGTGTGTGTGCACGATTTGGCCACTTGCAGTAATAATCGATATGGCGCCGTCAGACGCTGCAATGATCGCTAAATCTGTGGTGCTCTTTTTCTATTATTTTTTTGTTGTTAATTTTTTTCTGTATTAATCCAAATCAGTTGGCTAGAACGACTATTTTACCACTGATTCTGACCGCTTAAATGCTTGCCAATAAGATTTTCTCAAATTATTGGCACTTTGTTCCAACAACTACAGTTTGACTTTCACATTGAATACAACATATGCACACTGTGACCGATTTTCTCCATCATCGAAGAGTTCATCGGGTGAGACTATGCAAACTCATGTGACTTTTTCACCAGTTCACTTACCCATGAATGCCAACGCGTGGGCACTGTTTAGCCTGTTCTGCTGCTTATTAATATTCCAATTAGATTACTGGTGCAAATGTTGGTTTGTTTGCTCGCGTTTTACTGTGGGTGTATGGACCATCTCTGGCCATCGTTTTCCTCTGCTGTACAGCGTGCTAATCTGCAGAATATAATTTGATTTGTGTGCACTACTAACACCAACACTGTGTGCGCCTGATCGTGCCTGAGCATCTCTGGAGCATTGTGAAAACTATCTCGATCAGTCGCTCAATAGGCCACTGACCGTCTGCACTGACCTGTGTGCTGGCTTAACAGCACAACGGCTTTTATCAATGCCACATTTTCTTTTTCTGTTTCTGAAGTCTTCTTCTAACTTTTCTTCTCTCTCCCTCTTGGTCACGACACATCGGCGACGTCTACGGCGACGGTTGCAATGTCCAACTGAGCGAGTGACCAGTTAAGG